CAGCCACTCTGGGAATTGTAGTTCTGGGAGGGGAACATGGGTCTCCTAACCATTTTCAGCACCCTTAACAAACTACAGCTCCCGGAATCCCAGGAGCGCTTTAAAGGTCTGGTGTGAATGTGGCCTGAGACTGTATTCGACATTCACTGTGAGAAGGAGAGGGTGAAATGAACCATGGTTGGGAATCTTCCAGGCTGTGAGAAGCCATCCCAGCTGCTTCTTAGGTTTTGAGAGTTCAATGTGATGTACTGTAGTGCAGGGGTGGGGAAATTCATGGCTGGGGAGTTCAAGACTTCCCATCTCTGGACTCTCCTAAGGCCATCCTGTTCACAGTTCCACTCTGCACCTTTCTTTGGGGGCTTTTGACTGGATGAAATGTGTCCTCGTACGGCAATAGAGCTTCTTGCGTGCTGGATGGAGGGTAGAGAACCGCCTCTCTCCACATGAACCGACCCAGACCCTGAGATCATCCTCTGAGGCCCTTCTTTGTGTGCCTCCTTTGCAAGAGGTCCAGAGGGTGGCAGCCTGGGAGTCAATTTGGACTCACAGCTGTCCATGGAGGCGCAGGTCAATTCTGTGTAGAGGGCAGCTGTTTACCAGCTCCATCTGGTACGCAGGCTGAGACCCTCCCTGCCCCTGGACTGTCTTGCCAGAGTGGTGCATGCTCTGGTTATCTCCTGCTTGGACTACTGCAACGCGCGCTACATGGGGCTACCTTTGAAGGTGGCCTGGAAACTACAACTAATCCGGAATGTGGCAACTAGACTGGTGACTGGGGGCGGCCACCGAGACCACATAACACTGGTCTTGAAAGACCGACATTGGCTCTCAGTATATTTCCGAGCAAAATTCAAAGTGTTGGTTCTGACCTTTAAAGCCCTAAACGGTCTTGGCCCAGGATACCTGAAGGAGCATCTCCACTCCCATCATTCTGCCCAGACACTGAGGTCCAGCTCCGAGGGCCTTCTGGCGGTTCCCTCACTGAGAGAAGTGAGGTTACAGGGAACCAGGCAGAGGGCCTTCTCGGTAGTGACACCCGCCCTGTGGAACGCCCTTCTATCACATGTCAAGAAATAAACAACTATCTGACTTTTAGAAGACATCTGAAGCCAGCCCTGTTTAGGGAAGTTTTTAATGTTTCATATTTTATAGTGTTTTTAATGTTTTGTTGGGAGCTGCCCAGAGTGGCTGGGGAAACCCAGCCAGATGGGCGGGGTATAAATGTTGTTGTTGTTACACAAGAACAGGGCCTTTTCTGCAGTGGCTCCCCGTTTGTGGAATGCTCTCCCCAGGGAGGCTTCCCTGGCACCTTCATTATACACCTTTATGCGCCAGGTGAAAATGTTCCTTTTCAACTTGGCTGATTGACATGTCCTTTTAAATGTGTTGTGGGAGCAGGGTAGTTTTACTATGTATTGTTATAGATTTGGGGGGGGGAATGACTCCCCCTAAACCTTAGAAATTAATAAATAGTAGGATTTTGATTAATAGGGATATGGATAAAAGTACAAGCTGCACAACTGTGCCAGACAAGGAATCCCTGAGCTAGCTTATGCAAACCAGCCTGGCTTGCCTAGTGAAGAGCAAATGTGTTAATATGACCAAAATGAATCTGAGAGGAATCTTTAGGCCTGGGGAGACAAAAGTTGCCCAGGTGGTGTGTGTCTAAGGTGACAGGAAAACTGCGGTTTTGAGCAAGGTGTTCTGGAAAGAAAAAAAGACTTGGATCCATCTTGGGCAGGTTGGCTGAAGACTGGCCACACATGCTGTGGGGGATAAGCCCCTCTTGAAATGATCATGCTGTAAGATCTGGACTCACTCCATGCAGACTGAACCTATAAATAGGTGAATAAACCATATTTCTTAAAGCCATGACAGTTTCTGCTGTGTCTTAATTCTCCAAAGGGACACAGAACCTGAATGAGTGCCTGGAACCCTCCTGGAATCGTTCTACTAGGCAGAAACAGTGAGAGGCAACCAACTTTGGTAACAGCATTTTGTGTTACTTATACAGTCTTACCTTGGAAGTCGAACGGAATCCGTTCCGGAAGTCCGTTTGACTTCCAAAATGTTCAGAAACCAAAGCGCAGCTTCTGATTGGCTGCAGGAAGCTTCTGCAGCCAATCGGAAGCTGCAGAAGCCCCGTCGGATGTTTGGCTTCCAAAAATAGTTCACAAACCGGAACAGTCGCTTCCAGGTTTGCAGTGTTTGGGAGCCAAAGCGTTCGAGAACTAAGCTGTTTGAAAACCAAGGTATTGTAATTTGATGTTGTGAACTACCCTGAAATCTACGGAGGAAGGGCGGTATATAGATTTAACAAATGATAATAATACTCTCCAGTCCCCAATTCCCCACACCGCGGATTGTCCAGGCTCTTAATAAAGAAACACAAAGCACTCACACATTTTCAGACAAGGGGGTCGTCACCATCAACCCAGAAACGAAAGAGCAACCTTTGGTCTGAGGCTACCAAGCTGTTCCAAAGCTGGCGAGGCTCGAAGTGTTGACTTGAATTATTCACAAGGAAGCTGCACAGTCTAGCAGGAGAAGCCTGGGGCTGAGAAGCAGAAGAGATGAGCCTGTGTCTGTCTGAGGGGGAGGTGGGGGCGGGAGACCTCCGGTTCTCACTGCGCATCCTCAGCGTGGAATGAGATGGCTGCAAAATGATGGGAGGCCAGGCGTCCGCTGTGCAAGATCTGAGGATCCCTCTGGGCAGCTCAGCGGTAAAAGTGGATGGATACAATTTAGAATACAGTGGTACCTCGGGTTAAGAACTTAATTCGTTCTGGAGGTCCGTTCTTAACCTGAAACTGTTCTTAACCTGAGGTACCACTTTAGCTAATGGGGCCTTCTGCTGCCGCTGCACGATTTCTGTTCTCATCCTGAAGAAAAGTTCTTAACCCAAGGTACTATTTCTGGGTTAAGAGAGTCTGTAACCTGAAGCGTCTGTAACCTGAAGCATCTGTGAACCGAGGTACCACTGTACAGTCATACAGTCATACCTCGTGTTACAGCCACTTCAGGTTGCGTCTTTTTGGATTGCGGACCGCCGAAACTCGGAAGTACCGGAATGGGTTACTTCCAGGTTTCGGTGGTTGCGCATGCACAGAAGTGCTAAATCGCGCTTTGCGCATGCGCAAAAGCGCCAAATCGCAACCCACGCGTGTGCAGGTGTGGGTTGCGAACGCTACGGGTTGCGAATGTGCATCTTGCACGGATCACGTTCGCAACCTGAGCATCCACTGTACCTTGGTTTTCGAACAGCTTAATTCTCGAACGTTTTAGCTCCCGAATGCCGCAAACCCGGAAGTGAGTGTTCTGGTTTGCGAACTGTTTTTGGAAGCCGAACATCCGACAGGGCTTCAGCGGCTTCCCATTGGCTGCAGGAGGTTACTGCAAAATGCTTGTAGGACTTCACAATTTGTCCTCCTGCTTCTTTTCTCTCTCTCTCTCTCCTTTCTTCCTTGGCTAGTCATGTGGTTACAAGACGCAGGCCTTTTTCTGAGCCCTAGGAGCTTCAGAACTGACCCCGGATTCCAAGCATCAAGCACTCCCTCGACAAACAAGAAGTTGGCCTCTTCCACCACCCCCACCACCGCCCCCAGCCTCCAGTCCAAAGAGACAAAGCGAGGAAATAAAGAAATCTCTACATGAGAGCTAAACCGAGTTATATTGCAAGAGAAGTCTTGTGGGGGAGGCAGGCTGAGGGCTCAACCCTGAACTCCCCCCCAGGGCAGTGAACTGACTAATGGAATGTGACCAGGCCTGCCCCTTTCATTAAGAGCTTGGAGCTCTTCAAAATTACTTTCTCCCACCACCAAATGGGAGGAGGAGTGGGGGAATCTGTTCTCTCTCTCCCTGTGGTGAATGCCAGCAGGTGTGGGAGATTTGCAGTGACAATCTTGGATCATAAAACGCAGCCTTACCTGCTCTGAGTCTCCTCCATCCCCCGCAACCTTGGAGACATTAGGAACAGCCAGAAGGAAAGACGAGAGATTCTGTGGCATGGCTCAATGGATTGGGTCCAGAGTAGGGTCTCAAAGATTTGCAGCCTGATCCTAAAAAAATGTTGTATAAACACAGACAACTGGGAAACACTGGCCTGCGAGCGCTCCAGTTGGAGAACAGCCTTTACCAAAGGTGTCATGGGCTTTGAAAACGCTTGAACTCAGGACGCAAGGGAGAAACGTGCTAAGAGGAAGGCACACTTGGCAAATCCACACTGTGATCAACTCCTGCCCAGGAACCAATGTCCCCACTGTGGAAGGACGTCTGGGTCCAGAAAAACCATGTTTATGGAAGACAGTCTTACTCAGCTTCAAGGGATCGCCAAAGAAGAAGATGCATGTTTGCTTGGTCTGAAGCTCAACATCAAAAAAACTAAGATCATGGCCACTGGTCCCATCACCTCCTGGCAAATAGAAGGGGAAGAAATGGAGGCAGTGAGAGATTTTACTTTCTTGGGCTCCATGATCACTGCAGATGGTGACAGCAGTCACAAAATTAAAAGACGCCTGCTTTTTGGGAGAAAAGCAATGACAAACCTAGACAGCATCTTAAAAAGCAGAAACATCACCTTGCCAACAAAGGTCCGTATAGTTAAACCTATAGTTTTCCCAGTAGTGATGTATGGAAGTAGGAGCTGGACCATGAAGAAGGCTGATGTGCTCTGGTCCATGGGGTCACGAAGAGTCGGACATGACTAAACGACTAAACAACAACAAGACCTACTGATGCCAATGAGAGCCGGGCTATTTTTGGGAAAACCATCAAATGCACATAGGACTGTAGCTTTGCAGCACGATGCTATTACATGTTGACCCAGGAACATCCCAGACTTTCTCCCAGGAAACTATGCATAGGCCTGCAATGTCGATCATTTCAACAGTTAAACAGTTTCAAACTTTAACTGGTAGATTAATCATAGATTCATAGAATAGTTGAGTTGGAAGGGATCACAAGGGTAATCTAGTTCAACCCCCTGGACTGCAGGAATCTCTTGCCTAACATGGGGCTTGAACCCGCAACCGTGAGATTAAGAGTTTCATGTTCCACTGACTGAGCTATCCCAGCTTTAGTCTAAAGTTAGGATTTAAGTAAAGCTCACCTGCTTTCCAAAAGGGCTCTCCCAGTGTCTAGTCTTGGAGCATGCAGACTTTGGGACTTGTGGGCATGGACATGATTGCAATGCTCCCTGGAAATTGACGCTTATAGCTCAGGCATTCCTGAGGCTTCTTCACAGCACATGGCAAAGTATGGAGTGCTGTTGTTTAGTCGTTTAGTCGTGTCCGACTCTTCGTGACCCCATGGACCAGAGCACGCCAGGCACTCCTGTCTTCCACTGCCTCCCACAGTTTGGTCAAACTCATGCTGGTAGCTTCGAGAACACTGTCCAACCATCTCGTCCTCTGTTGTCCCCTTCTCCTTGTGCCCTCCATCTTTCCCAACATCAGGGTCTTTTCCAGGGAGTCTTCTCTTCTCATGAGGTGGCCAAAGTCTTGGAGCCTCAGCTTCAGGATCTGTCCTTCCAGTGAGCACTCAGGGCTGATTTCCTTCAGAATGGAGAGGTTTGATCTTCTTGCAGTCCATGGGACTCTCAAGAGTCTCCTCCAGCACCAGAATTCAAAAGCATCAATTCTTTGGCAATCAGCCATATGGAGTGCTATATTTCTAGAAAAAATGGGGTGCCGGAACTCACCATGAATGCCTCCCTTGTTCTCTTAGAATAGCTATGGCACCCACCTGAGAAGTACCAGAACTGAGGTCGGGCTGAAAAAATGCCCTGACGGTATGGTTTTATAAATGAGATGTCCATTTTAAAAAGCTCATGTAGTTTTCACAGCAATCAGTGAGAGTGTGTCATTGAGGGTACAGATAAAAGAACATGAAATAATGTCAGCGATGTGCTTGCCTAGTAATCAACTCTGGACGCCTGGTTTGCCCAATGCAGAGACTGCATGTGCGCAGAATCTCATATTAACATTTGCTTGCTACTGTTTATGCGGCCGGTGTGTTGTTCTTGTTTTTCCATAAGTTGTATGTTATACAAAACAGTGATGTGTTACATTATCCCCCCCCCTTTTACTTTAATATAGGTTACTTCAAGACCTTTGGGTAACAAGTAACAAATAAGTTTAATAAATCAAAATAAATAAAATAATATTTTGAGCTGGAGACAACGGTTCTCTCCAGACTGGTGCTTTATTGTGGGCGTATTCTGCAAAACACTGTGATTCCGGCATTGCTGGGGGTTGGACTAGATTTCCCTTGGGGTCCCCAACTCTCTAATTCTATGATTCTATGCTCTTGACACAAAAAAGTGCATTTGTAGTGGATTTATTCTGCTTTAGTAGTTTTTCTCTGATGCTTCCCCACATTATTGCTGTCCGGCAGAGCAACAAAGGTGGACAGCCCCCACAAACACATAAATTTGTAGTATGAAAAGTTACAGGATTTCAGGAGGTGTTCTGAATAGAAATGGAGCAGTATGGCTGCCCCAAACCTTTGCAGGAGCAAATAGCACTGAAAGCAGGATCTGCATAGGACTGTTCTGAGGGCACCTCGAGCATAAATCATCATGGATGTGCAATACAAAGGATGTCCAGAGGATCCTTAACTTTGGGAAGAAATGCCCCTCAGTTTCTGACACAGCTGAATATTGCAAGCAAGCTGGGCACATCTGCATCCTATGTGCTCTGTGCCGAAGTTGTCACCAGTTCCTTTCTACCAGACCAATGGCCATTTCATTCACCAGCAGCTTTGCCACGGGTTGTAAATGCAATAAATAAAATAAAATAAAATGGGAGAGTACCTTGCAGCAAATCAGGCTGTTGGTCAACCCTATATTGGTCCTGGCCGCAGGTGGCGCGGTGGTCTAAACCACTGAGCCTCTTGGGCTTGCCGATCGGAAGGTCGGTGGTTCGAATCCCCGTGACGGTGTGAGCTCCCGTTGCTCGGTCCTTGCTCCTGCCAACCTAGCAGTTCGAAAGCACGCCAGAAAAGTACAAGTAGATAAATAGGTACCGCTCCAGCGGGAAGGTAAACAGCATTTCCGTGTGCTGCTCTGGTTCGCCAGAAGTGGCTTAGTCATGCTGGCAACATGACCCAGAAAAACTGTCTGCGGACAAACGCCAGCTCCCTCAGCCTGTAAAACAAGATGAGTGTCGCAACCCCGGAGTTGTTTGTGGCTGGACTTAACTATCAGGGGTCCTTTACCTTTACTTTTAAATGTTGCTGGAACTCCCACTGAGAAAGAAGATTTCCCTTGCCAGGTAGAGGGGGCCTGGGGGGCAGATCTGAAGGGTGGTGAACCATAACACTGGAATAAAAAAACAGCTGTTGTCACTGGGGGGAACAACTCCCTTGCCTGGAGGGTGGGTGTGTGTGTGGGTGTGTGTGTGTGTGTGTGTTATGAGCAAATGGGCAAAGGGAGCCAGCTGTGGGAGGAGAAGCTGCCACATCAATCTCGAGAGAGGGTCAAACCCACACTTAAATTACAATCTGTACTCGAGTCTCAAGGGTCAAGGCATTGCGCTCGGTGCCCTCCTAACCCCCAACAACAGACAAAAGAAAGGAAGATATCAGGAATATTTCCATAGCTATCTGTCTCTCCGAGTTGAAAGCGCAGGGGAGCTAACAGCTCCAGACTCCCAAAATACAAGGAGTTAATGTGCATTGATGCAGTGTTTTCATGCTGTTGGGGATGACATTGGTTTAACCTTCTTCTTCTCTTAAAAGTATCGTTCACCTATGTGAATCACAAACGTGTTGAGCATAAGCCCCACTCAAGACACGAATGCAGTGGTGTGGCAGCCACTGGACATGGTGATGCCCTCCAGATGTTGTGAACTACAATTCCCACTGTGCGTGTCCATTGGCCATGCTTGCTCGGCCTATGGGAATTGTAGTCCAAAACGTTGGCGGGCACCAAGTTGGTGAAGGCTGGTCTAATCTCTCAGGCTGGGGTTGCCTGCAGATCCAACAAAATTAACCGTGTACATTCTGGCATCAATCTATGGAACTCTAGAAACTGTGTGGACGCTTGGTTGCTTCTAACAGAATCCTCATATCCATTCACTCATCAAAATATAATGATCAGGATTCTTTGGGAGAAGCCATGAGAGTTTGGCTGGTGTAATGTTGGTGCAAAGGCAATTTAAGTGGGCACTTCCAGGCAGCTTGAATTTAGCATTCATCCTGATTGGTTTGCAGGGAAATTAGATGATGTTAACTCTATAATGAGCATTTTCCCGATTTGTTTGCAGGGAGGTTAGACGAACTGGCATCAAAGCAAGTGTTCTCGCTGCGAGAAGCCAAGTTACAGGGAACCAGGCAGAGGGCCTTCTTGGTAGTGGCACCCGCCCTGTGGAACGCCCTCCCATCAGATGTCAAAGAGAAAAACAACTACCAGACTTTTAGAAGATATCTGAAGGCAGCCCTCTTTAGGGAAGCTTTTAATGTTTAATAGACTATTGTATTTTAATATTTTGTTGGAAGCTGCCCAGAGTGGCTGGGGAAACCCAGCCAGATGGATGGGGTATAAATAAATTATTATTATTATTATTATTATTATTACTATTGTTGTTGTTGTTGTTATTATTATTATTATTATCCATTGCTTTTCCAGTGTGTTTTCCCTTTTCCCTTCCCTTTCTGCAAAAAGATAAATTTTTGGGGGGTGGAGAGCCGGTTTATTGCACAAGACCTTCCAATCAGCTATATCTGTATGACTCGAACCTGCTGGCATCCCACCCAAAAACAGCGACAGCCTGGATTCTGGAATCTGCTTTCTTGTAACATGAAGCCATTGGTTCGAGTCCTACCCTGCAGAACAGGAGAAAGCAAGGAGCTAAAGGCGGTACACGTGGTTCATACCCTCCTCATTTAACCCCCACAACAACCCTTTGAGGTAGGTTAGGCTGAGAGGCAGCGATTGGCCCATGGTCACCCAGTAAGCTTCACGGCTGAATGGGAATTTGAAGTCTGGTCTCCCAGGTCCCGGTCTTGACACTCTAACCACTATGCCACACTGCATCCTTTTCTCACAGTGACCAGCCACTTGCCTCAAAATGGAACTGCAATTTGTCCTGCGCTAATGGTGCATGCCTTTACTGCAGGGCATAGGGAAGGGATTCTTCCGGAAAGTACAGGAATCTCGAGATGCTGTGAAAACAAAACATGATCCTTGCAAATGGAAGCTTGGCGGTCTCAGTTAGCTTGTCTGGTAGTCAGCGAGCTCTGCAGTTCCTCATCATTACTGCAGGCAGACTCGAGAGGGTCAAGCCAAGTGTATTCTGGAGGCAGGAAGACAGCTAAATTAAGCGAGTGGCTGAACAATAAGGCTTAAAGCTGGTGAAACTGAGACTTGGGGGGGGTATGGAAGGGCAGGAGCGAGGGGGGGGGTTGCATCTGGTGGGGGAAATGCGACCTTGGTAGGAAATAGGAATAAGCAACCCTGAAAAACAACAAGAAGAACTGTTGCGCGCAGGGGCAATACCCTTGGCAGCGCAGGAGCAAAGGTGAAGGGGAGAAGGGAGTTGAATCTCGAATCTGGGCTGGGGGTGGTTGGTGGGGGGTGAGTGGGAGAGAGAGAGAGAGAGAGAGAGAGAGAGAGAATGAGAGAAGCCAAGGGGCCTGGGTTGAAACAGCCAAACAAATGACCTCTTGCAGAAGCAAATGATGAATGTTCTGCAGTTCACTATGTATGCGCTGTGGGCATAAAATGTCGATCCTGGCTTGACAATTAGTTCCCAGGCCTAATTCAAAGTGCTGGATTTGACAAAATGAAGAGGAGGAGAACTGTGTAAGCTACAGACCCTCCAAGGGTCCCTATTTTGCAGGGACATCCCTGATTTAAAGAAGCCATCCCGGTTTCTGATTTGATCCCGGAATGTCCCACTTTTCCTTAAGGTAAAGGGACCCCTGACCATTAGGTCCAGTCATGACCAACTCTGGGGTTGCGGCGCTGATCTCGCTTTACGGGCCAAGGGAGCCGGTGTACAGCTTCCGGGTCATGTGGCCTGCATGACTAAGCCGCTTCTGGTGAACCAAATCAGCGCACGGAAACGCCCTTT